ATCCCCGCCCCAGCCCCCGCACCCACGGCTTGCGGCAGTGAGCAGCTGTCAGGAGCCATTTGGGGGCAATGAGGGTCGCCCCACAGAGCAGACGCGTCTTCTGAAACAGAGCCACCTGCCAGGGCTTGGAATGAGGAGGACACTCGTACCCCTTGATGATCCTGGTCTCTCCCCCTACACGCCCTGGAGGGGGTGGGGGCAAAAGAGGGGGCTCAGGCATGAGAGGGCTCCCAGGGGAGTCAGAGGGCGGGTATCTGTTCCCCGGCCTGGTGTCTCTCTGGGACGCACTGTATGGATGACTGCATTGAATGATTGGCATAGCGGTTGGCCAATAGCCACTGCCCTGAGCTCTTTGGATGGCTCCCACTCCAGCCCGGGGACCCTGGCCCCTCCCCTGGGACCCCCCTGGGCCTCTCCCCATTCTAGCATCTATAGGGTTTACACCTGCTAAAGCCAAGGGCCTCCAGGACCTCATTATGGCTCATTTGTCTATTCAGACGCCCTCCGGGTTAGTCTGTATTTTGAATATCGGCCCTGTCCACGTCCAGGCACAGAGGGTTGGGGGATGCTAGAGGTGTGAGAGGGAGGCCCCTACCTGTCCCCGTCACCACCGTACCTGTCACCAGAGCAAGCATGATTAATTGCAGAATCGTCATGGCCTGGAGCAGGGGGAGGGCAGGCCCCAGGTTCTTCTGGAAACAAGGAAGTACAGGGGCCAGTTCGCTTTATGGGGAGATCGCAGGTCGGCTCGTGCCCTCTCCCGTCTCCCTCGCCTGCTCCTGCTCCGATGGTCCCCAGGGAGAAACAACAGGGCTTGAAGAACCCCCTGGTTCTCACAGCACCCCAGCCTCGGATACCTTGAAATGAACCTTGGGGACGGAGGGCGGCCTTGGAGGGACTGGACCTCAGCTAGAAGCTCCTGGCAGCCCAGGAGGATGGCTGGGAGAGGCTTTGCCTTGTTTTAGGTCAACCACCGAACCTCTGAGGTTCATTTTGGAGAATGTTTTCTCTGTGCCCACCTGAGGCCTGGCTAGGGCCCAACAGCTTGGAGCAGGAGGATAATGGGGATTGGCATCATTCGGAAACCACCCAGGGTGACGTGGGCCCTTCACGGGCTCCCTGGGCCGCAGAGGCAGGTCCGCCTGGGATGGTGTTTTGGACCCTGCCCTGCTGCACCCCTACCCCTTGGACGGGCACCTGGACAGAGATGGGCAGGGCTGAGCACAGGAAGAGTCAGTGTCCTCAGCTGCCCTGGCCAGCGGGGGTAGAGGTGGAGGGCTGGGCTCAGGGACAGAAGCTGGGGTCAGAGGTCACTGGGGTTGGGGGCAGCTGGCTAGAGAAGCAGAGAGAAACAGAGAACCTCCACCCAAGCCTAGAAAGATAGAGCAGAGGGAGAAATGGTGCTGAGGCCCAGGAGGCCTGGTGCGCTCCGTGGGGTACCACCTGGAGTGGGACCTTCCCTTCCCTCCCAGACTCACAGGCTCTGGGGCTGGGGCTCCTGGGGCCCACAGTGGTGGTGGCAGCTGCGGCAGGCTGGGGCAGGCTGGGCCGGAGCGAGAGGCACCAGGCAGGCAGGCGAAAGGGGGGTGGCCCGGATGACTGGGCCTCCTAGCCCTGCCTATTGCCCTGGGGGCGGGGTGTGCGAGGGGGCCCTACCCAGACAGGCCTTGGGCCTCAGGCAGGCGCTGCCACCCGCCGTCAGCCTCCGTCACCTCTCCAAGCCCCTCTTCTCTCTGCTCCTCTCAGGTTCCCCTGTGCATCCATCTGTCTACATCCTGCCCTTTTACTCTGAGTTGCTCTCTTCATCCGTCACCAGCTGCCTTTCTGTAATTCTGTGCGCGTGTCATTTCTCGGTGCGTCTGTGCGACAGTGCCTTTCTGTCCGTCTGTCTCTGTTTTCATCTGCCAGTCCCTGCAGGTCTCCTCTCCTGCTCCTGCTTTATCCCTGTTTGGGTCTGTTTCTGCCTCGGTCCCTCCATCTGTCTCCTTCCCTCCCTCCCTCTGTCTCTAAACCCCTCATCTCCTCCTGGGCCTGCCCCTCCCTCCCCACAGCCTGAGCCCAGGTGGGCCCCTGGCCTCCTTTTGGGCCCCTCCCTTCTCCATTCCAAGGAGGGGGAGAACTGGGGCGTCGAAGAGGTGGGGCTGCTGCCTGGCGAAGGGGCAGGACAGAAGGGTGGGGGAGGCAGGTCGGGGCCTGTGGGAGTCAAGGCCCGAGAATGGGAAATCAAGGCTCCTCTGCCGACCCTCCCCTCTGCCCCTCTCTTCCTGCTCCCAGTCTGCCAGGAGCCCCAGCGTCCTTGGAATCCAGCCGTGGCACTTACTCACTGTGTGGCCTGGGTCCGATGACTTCTCAAATCTGAGCCACCTCGAGTGACAATCCCTACTTCTTCAAGCTTGTTATCGGTTGGATCTCCTCCCTGTCTTGCCCTCCTCTCTCCCCTAACCAGATGCGGAGCAGGACTGCCAGGTAGGCCTGGGTTCTGACAGCAGCCGGCCCTGGCCCCACACTTCAGCTCTGCCTCTTCCTACCATGGTGACGTAGGACGAGGGACTCCACCCCAGTGAGGCTCAGTTTCTTCATCTGTGACCTGGGGGTGACAGCCCTGCCTTGGGTGGTTGGGGTAAGGACTTCAGGACAGCCAAGGACAGTAGGTTCTCAGCAGATGTTCCCACGGCTGTCATGATCACACCTCAAATTCCTCTTCCATTCACTAGGGAGAGGTTCTCTTTGCATCTCCTGGAGAGGCAGTGATGACAGACCCCAAGGGGGTGGGCAGGACTATTTTAAGACATAGGCTAGTTCCTCTTGCCTTCCCACCTTCCATGATCAACAGCAGGAAGACCAACCCACATCCCACATTAAATCATTAAATATAACCCATGCTCCACTCCAGCAGAACCAAGTTGCCATTGGCTAGTTGGAGGAATGTTACGTTTTATAGCCATTTAATTAAGTAGTCATGAATTTTGATTTCACAGTTGTCATTTGGTATTTTGCAGCCAGTAATTTTTACCCTTCTTCAGATTCTTATGCTTACGGGCTCTTGAAAACCTTATAAGCATTTGGTTACTGTTCCTGTTGTGTCAGATGGAGAAAAATGTTCCTTATTTTTATTGATATAAGTAAGTTTCTCTACACCATCTCTATGTGACCCCTGAGGGAAAACCCCCACTCTCTCTGATCTCTATTTCTACACCTGTGAGTAGGGGAATGAATGAGCCCCCCCTCCACCTCAACCAGCACGGGGATACCAGATAAACAGACATCACCCCTTCTCCAGTTGTATTTATTCCAAATAGTCAGATACTCCCTCCTCCCGGAACCATGGGTCTTAGAAGGGCTGGCTGGAGTTGAAGTTCTGAGAAGACGATTCCTCAGACCAAGAAGAGTGAGAGCTGGGGTTGACGATGGAGGAGGTGTTGGAGCTCAGAGTGGCCCCAAGCTGAGGGCGGAGGTGGAAGGAGCAGGTCAGTTGTTCTTCATGACAGCCCGGATCCAGTCCACATATTTGCAAATATTGGTGTAGACTCCTGGGATGCCTTCTTGCCCGCAAGGCCCCACAGACCCCCAGGACACCAGACCCTGAAGGACTCCTCCGCACACCAGGGGGCCACCAGAGTCACCCTGGAAGGAAAAGGGGAAATGAGCATGGCCTGAAAATGGGAGAAATCCTGTTCCAGTTTTCCTCTCCCCAACCCATTCCTGGGCCTTGAGAACTGTGGCTCCAACCTGGTCATCAGAGAAAGAGCACAGCCAAGTTCTGGAAGGACAACAGCAATGGCTGGACCATGGAGAAGGGCACACGGCTCTAGGCACCAAACCCAGGGACGGTGGGCGGGAGTCCACCAAGGGTAGAGTTCCCTCAAAGACAATGGCTGGGCCCTGACCAATGAGGGAAGAGTATGGGCACAAATAATCAGTCCCAGCAAAGGAGGGCGGGACTCCATGAGGACAGTGGCTGGGGCCTTGGCCAGCAGGAAGGGGCAGGCCTCCCCTCTGGAGGGCCCAAAGGGCAGGGTAGCAGAGTTTGAGGGTGAGAGAGCCCTAGGGCCCCCTTTCCTGCCTCCATCCTGGAGTCTCACCTGGGCCAGTATCAACTGGAGGGTGGTACGGGGAAGACTCAGAACCGGAGAGGCAGTAGGTTACCTGCCTGAGCCCCCATGCCCGCTGGTTCTGCATCTGCTCACCTGGCAGGCATCCATTCCCAGGTTGCCTCCCGCACACACCATGTTGTCCGTGATTCTCCCGGGGAACACGGCTCGGCAATTGGCATTGGAGACGATGGTGATGTTGAGACATTGGAGCCGGTCTGGGAACGGGTCT